CTAGGAAGTCTCGAGGCGGCATCTCTATGATTCCAAGAGCCGCCGTGTTGCACGACATTTTGCTTCGCGCCAGGGGGCCCGAGGAATCCTTCCCGAGCGGGAACCCTACTTCGGAGGCGAACCGCCCTTGATCCGCTGAGATGCTGCACGCTTGAGACGACTGCGCGGCGCTCCTCCTCCTCCTCCTCCCTCCTCCTCCTCCTCCTCCTCCTCCTCCTCTCCTCCTCCTCCTCCTCCCTCTCCTCCTCCCTCCTCCTCCTCCTCCTCCTCCTCCTCCTCCTCCTCCTCCTCCTCCTCCTCCTCCTCCTCCTCCTCCTCCTCCTCCCTCCTCCTCCCTCCTCCTCCCTCCTCCTCCCTCCTCCTCCCTCCCTCCTCCTCCCCCCTCCTCCCTCCCTCGTCTCGAACGCCACCCGCCCTTCCCCCGTGCGGCTGAGCACGTCATGCTTCGAGGCCATGGAACGCGAAGGGGTCCCAAGCGAGTGGCGCTGCCCGACCCGGTCCGACCCGGCAGCATGGTGGCTCGACGGGCAGGGGCTGCACACAGAGAAGGGGGGAGGGGGGAGGCTGAGGGCAGGGAGGAGCAGGAGGAAGCGGAGGAGGACGAGGAGGAGGAGGAGGAGGAGGAGGAGGAGGAGGAGGAGGAGGAGGAGGAGGAGGACGGGGGAGCTCGAGGAGGAGGAGGAGGAGGACGGGGGAGCTCGAGGAGGAGAAGGAGGAGGAGGAGGAGGAGGAGGACGGGGAGTTCGAGGAGGAGGAGGACGACGAGGAGGAGGAGGGAGGCCGTTGACACTCGGGACTTTGTTTCGTAACAGTGCTCCGCCACTTCGCTGGCGCAGCAGGAGTGAGCTCGACCTCGATGCTCGTTCCGGTCTCGAGTTCAGGGAGGAGGAGGAGAAGGATCTCCTCATTCTCCTTTCTCCCCTGTCCTACATATGGTAGTGGTGGTGGAAAATCTGCCCATCTCACTGTCCCATTTCAGGCCGTATTGGGAGGCAAGGGTCGACCCAAGCGGTGTCTTGGCGACGTCTTGGGCTTTTTTCGTTTCGGCTTCGCTGTGCAGAACAAGGCAGAGTAGACGCAACGCGAGGGACCACGAAAACAACGCGAGAACGAAAAACACTGTTCTGGTCGAGCCCTGTCGGCAGGTGATTGACAGCCCCCTGGGGCCTTTTGGGGGCCTTGCCGAAAGTCGGGGGCCTCGCGGCCGTCTTGGGCGCAGCGATGCCGCGGAGCCCTGCCGAAGAGGCTCGGTCGAAGCATCTCGATGATGTCTGGGCCTCAGGCGATCGAATTCTCATTCGTTGTTTTGCCAATCGGCGTGGGCCCTCGCACCCCCCACCTCCTCCCCCCCCCCCCTGTGGAGTAGATATTGGCTGTTTTGGGCGCCTGTTTCGAGCAGGTGGAGTCTCCCCCATGGTTCATGGACGCCCTGATGAGCAGTCGCGCTAAGCAGAGGTCTGGAGCCAGACCCGCCCCTTCCCCTTCCCCTTCCGCCCAATGTCGAAACGCCGAATAAGAAAGTGCTCACCAGTGGGCCCTGGAAGCGATAGGGCCGTTTCTTTACCGGTTCCGTTTTACCCTTTTTGTTGCCGGTTCCGTCGCCTTTTGTTGGCTCCGGCTCCGGTTCCAAACCTGGGAGCCCTTTTGTTGCCTTCTTCCGGTTGCCGTTTCCTCACCGTTCCCATGTTCAAGAGATTTGTTTCGGAAACGGTGGAAAAACGGCCTTGCCGTTTCCTGGGCCCGCTAAGTTCTGGGCGGGTCTTGGAGCCGTCTTGGAGGCTTCTCGGGCAGCCCTGGGGTTATTTGGGGATTCTCGGGCCAGTTTCTGGGGCCTATTCGGGAGCTTCCAGGGAACCTGTGAAGGCTTAGCCCGAGATGGGTTGAGGCCAGAAATCCTTAGAAGCAAAAGTACTGATTTCACATATGTTCTTCAATCTGTTTCGTCTCGTAGGGCCGTGGGTATCGCTGGAAGCCTCTTCAGGGGCCTCTTGGGGCATCTAGAGGGCGGTTCTTGGATTGTCATGGAGCATCTTGCAGTTATGGACGGCGTTTGGCTGTCCTGGAGCTGTCTCCAAGACGGAACAACGTGCGCTCTTGTTGTTGTTATGGGCTCTCGTGGAGCCGTCTTGGGCTGTCTTCGGAGCTTCTGGGCGCTCTCTGAAGCGTCCCCGGGGTGGCCTCAAGCCTCAGGCATCGAACATATAGCACGCTGGTTTCCCCAGGCTTTTCAATTTGCTTCGCCTCTGATGGCCTCGCTGAAAGCCTCGCTGGACGATTTTCTTGAGGACTTATGCGCCTCGTGGAGCAGCTAGGGAGACCATGGATATTTTTGGGGCTCATTGAGCTGTCTTTGGATGGCGATTTGGCTTGTGGCAGCTGTCTTACGGCAGCCTTTGGTTGTATTGGTATTGCCTGGGCGCCGGGCAGTCTGATATCGGGATTGTCTAGCGGTGTTTTTTAGGGCCGTCTTTAGCCGTCTTTGGCGCTCTCTGAAAGCTTCCGAGGCGGTCACAAGCCGAGAAGAGCTTCGCAATCTAGACATCATTACAACGTTGCCTTCCCTGGCGCAGGGCCACCCTCGACTTGCTTCAGCGTCGGTTGCCCCTGAGGGCCTCGCTGTACTCCAAATACCTTATTAATCGTCCCCTGGGTCCAGTTTTTTGAGGCGCCTTTTTTGTAATTGGGGGGTCCGCTTTATTAGGGCGCTATCTTTGGATCGGAAGCTCAGGGGGTCCAGTTTCTTGAGGCGCCCCATCGAAGAGAGGGGGGTCCGGAATACTAGGTCGCATTTGGAGGGGGGTCCGGTTTCTTAGGGGTGTGTGTCGATCAATAAGCGATTTGGGGTATTTCATTGTAGATTCCCCGATCGCCAGCTCCACGGTCCGTCTCGACGTTCGGCTACACGCAGGAGGCGATTGGGCAGGAGGTGATTGGGCAGGAGGGTTTGTAGGGCGGGGTCGATTAATGAGGGATTTGGAGTAGGCCTTTTTGAGCGTCCCGTGGAGGGGCCCGCTCGGGGCGAGGGCAGGAGCACTGCCTGTGCGCGGGTGCGCGGGTGCGGTCCTGCGGTCCTGCGGGGGGGGGGGGGGGGCGCCCCACTGGGCGTGCTGGAGCTGCATCCCCCCCGCGCCCTGAGCAGGTGGTTCCGGGTCGCCACCGAGGGCCTCCTCCTCCTCCTCTTCCTCCTCCTTTTCCTCGTCCTCCTCCCCCTCCTCCTCCTCCGAGGGCCAGGTGTCAGTGTCGTTTAGCCGGCCCCCCTCCCCATCCCCATCCCCTTCGAGACCCCCACCAAATGGCCCCCCCAGTTGGGGATGCACCCTTCTCGGGGCCCGAAGGACACGGCCTATGTATGTCCCCATCGAGGGGGGGTAGATCGGCCAGCGGGGTAAATCGGCCACACCGCTGGGGATAGGGATCGGAGAAACGATACTCGATGTGGCGGATTTCGGAAACCCTGAACCCAAAAAGGAGGCATTTCGGGAAGCATCCTGTGGTCGTCGTCGTCTTCGCCGTCGTCGTGGTCGTCGTCGTCGTCCTCCTCGGCCGTCGTCGTGGTCGTCGTCGTCGTCGTCGGTCGTCAAGGCTGTCGTCAAGGATGTCGTTCCTCTCTTAGTGGGCCCCTCGGGAGGATTTTGTTCGCCTTTGGGACCTCGCCGGGCCGGCCTCGGACGCCACCTCCGGGGCCTCGTCCCGTGTTCGTTTCCTCGGACGGCCGTTGGCTCTCTCTGTGGGAGCCGCCGCCCGGAGGCCAACAGGAGCACCGAGTGCGTCGCCAAGTGAGTGGGTGTCTATATATATACACATATGTATATAAACATATGTATATCGATACGTATATCAATATATCCATATATATAGCAATCGGGCGATATAGCTATATATATGTATATAGCTGTTCACATTTATACATGTCTCTATGTATCTATTTAGCTATATAGCAATCCACCGACACAGCTATATACATATGCATATGCATAGTTCTATCGACATGTATACACAGGTATATAATTATGTTTGTATCTATAGCTTGACAATTCCACACACGTATATATGTACAGGTATATCAATATCCTCCTCCTTCTGTTCCTCCGCCTCCTCCTGCTGCTGCTGGCCTTCGGCGGCCTGTCGCCCCGAGGGAAGGGGAAGGGTGGCCATGCGAGCATCCATACGTTTGTGTATATATGTACATATATATGTGTGTGTGTGTAAATGTATACCTGCATACTTATATATATATATACATATATATCCAAACCTGGACAGCACAGGAAGAGGCTCGCGCGCCCTAGCGTGCCTCGAGCCACGGGGGCGGACGATGAGCAGAAGGATGAGTCCAGGAGGATGAGGACAAGAACAAGGAGGACGAGGAGGAGAAGGACGAGGAGGAGGATGATGGAATGAGTGAAAAAGATGATGAGGCGTGGAGGCGTGTGAAGAGGAGGAGGAGAATGAGGAGGAGGACGAGGAGGAGGAGGAGGTGGAGGGGAAGGAGGAGGAGGAGGGGAAGGAGGAGGAGGAAGAGGAGCAGGAGGAAGGCTAGGAGGTTGGGCAGGAGGAGGAGGAGGCCGACGACGAGAAGGAAGGAAAGAAGGAAGGACATTAACAGAGTAGGAGGAGGACAGGGAGGAGGAGGAGGACGGGGAGGAGGAGGGAGAGGAGGAGGAGGAGGAGGAGGAGGAGGAGGAAGAAGAGGAAGATGGAGTGGCGGAGGAGGAGGATGAGGAGGAGGAGGAATCAGGAGGAGGAGGGGAAGTAGAAGGAGGAGGATCATCAGGCGGAGTGCCAGTAGCTCGGGCAAGAGCAGGAGGCCGACGACGAGAAGGAAAGAAGGAAGGAAGGAAGGAAGGAAGGAAATTAACAGAGTAGGAGGAGGAGGGCAGGGAGGAGGAGGAGGTCGGGGAGGAGGAGGCGGAGGAGGAGGAGGAGGACTGACGAGGAGGAGGACTGTCGAGGAGGAGGATCGGGCCACCGTCCCTGCCTCCTCTGCCGGCCCCGGAGAGGTCGGAGTCAGTGCCGGCGGGCGCTGGGGCGAAGCCGCGCGCCGCGCAGGCCGGGGCTGGAGTCAACACCCCGCTTGCCTCCTCTTGGGCGCTCGGCAGCGGCGTGGGGCAATCGGGCGGGGCTTAGACTGGGAGGAGGGTGGGCGAGGAGGACTGACGCACGGGGCGGGGCCGACTCCGTCACGCAGGTACCGAGCAGGAGGATGGGGGGTTTGGGGTTGGGGGAGGGAGGGATCAGGAAGGAGGAGGAGGAGGTGGAGGAGGGATGAGATGGATGGAACAGAGGAGGAGGAGGAGGAGGAGGAGGAGGAGGAGGAGAAGGGTAACGAGGGCGAGGAGGAGGACGTAGAGGAGGGGGATGAACAGGGGGTAGAGAAGGATGAGGACGAGGAGGATGAGGAGGAGGAGGAGGACAGAGGCGGAGGAGGAGGAGGTGGAGGAGGAGGAAAGAGGAGGAAGAGGAGGAAGAGGAGCAGCAGCAGCAGCAGCAGCAGCAGGCGCAGGAGCAGGAGGAGGACCAGTGGAAACCCAAGAGTCATCAACGATGTTGGATTTGACCCTCCCTCCATGCTCCCTCTTCATAGGCCCCCACAACGGTTCATTTCCATTGAGGGAGCTGCCAGGTTGGAAAACAACATATTGAAGATCGTGGAGTGTGCCAAAACATTGTTCTGAGGTTTTCAACGCCTCGTATCAACCTGACTGCTGCGTCTTACGATCCAGAATCGTGCCATATAGCTATGTTGGGGACTTCAACGCTGCGAATCAACATAATTTTTGCGCCCGCATAGTCCTGAATCCCTCCAAGACACCATTTCTGGTACGTTGATCATGGGAATCCGTGAAGCTCTTGCAACGGTTTAAAACGAATGTGCGGGGCGCTAAGGCGAGAGCCACATTTTGAAGAGGAACCGGCCTCGATCCGTGAAACTCTTGCAAATGTTCAAAACGAGTGTTCGCGGCGTTGAGGCAAGAGCCACATTTTGAAAACGACCCGTCCTCGATCCGTGACATTCCTGCAAATGTTTAAAACGAATGTGCGCGGCGCTGAGGCGAGAGGCACATTTTGAAAACCACCCGCCCTCCATCTGTGAAGCTGTTGCAGATGTTTGAAGCTTCAGAGTCATAAATGGTGAGGAAGTCTCAGGCGAAGCGCCCCGCCCGCCCTAACAACTGGCTTCGGGGTGCGACAGGGGAGAGTTATCTAGAAGGACAAGGAATGGTGGAGGAGGAGGAGGAGGAAGGGGAGGAGGAGAGGCAGGGGAAGAGCGAGCGATGACGCGGCTGAGGAGACGAGGAGGAGGAGGAGGAGGAGGAG